TTTGGCGCCCTCCCATAGATACGCCACTGCAATAAAGAAATGATTAAATTTTTGGGACGGTCCGGAGAAGGGTGTGGGATGTGAGGGTCATTATTTAAAGAGATTTAAGAGCAAACGTCCTAGATACGATATTTCAAATACTAATAAACTGATATGAATGAAATTTTTGTGAAAGTTACAAGGAAGAAATTATTAAGGTGTTGGTGAAGAGCCAAATTCGGGTGTGAAATTAAGAGTGTACTTGAGGGACATTTAAATTTCTATTGTCGTGTGTTTGTTGCAATACATCTGATCCTAAATTGAAGTTACAGGGATTGTTCAGTATGAACCAAGGATGAGGTGATTAAATTTTGGTGACGGAAGGAAAACGTCTCAGACCAGACATTTCAAGAACGTGAACTTATCTGAATGAAATTGTCGAGGAAGATTAACCAAGTTACAAGGAAGAAAGTGGTGACGATTCATATTCTGGAGTGAATTTGAGGATCATTTAAATGCTTAAGGTCCCAGACCTAAATATATAGAAAAATAATCAATGGTTCTAAGTGACACTACCCAGATTAGTTTGTCATGTTTTCGATGAAGAAATGTTCAAATTTTGGTGACTATCCGTTGTAAGTTATGAATAATATGATGATTTTAGGTGATTTTTAAGTACTTTGACCGTAATTTTTAGGGGCGACAAGGGGGGGGGGGGGGTGCGCGAGTAATTTTTGGGGGACGTGCTCTCCCAACGCCCTCCCTATATCCGCTACTGATAAGGACCATTCAAGGGAAAACGTCCTAGACCAGATATTTCAAAAACTAATCAACAGCTATGAATGAAACGTTCGTGAAAGTTTGACCAAGTTACAAGGAAGAAATTATGAGGACGTGTTGGTGACATCCAAATTCGGGTGTGCATTTGAGCGCCATTTGGGTCCCAGACTTAAATATCTCGAAAATAGATCACCAATGGATAAAAATGACTGCCCTACCTGACGTGGAAATGTACCGAATACTCAGTACATTTGCGCCTGATGGCCAGGATTGAATTCGAGTCCAAGTAACTTTACTTGGACTCGAATTCAACCCTGGCCATCAGGCGCAAGCTCGGTGGTCTAGAGGTATGATGCCAGGCTAGTGATCGGGAGATCGTGGGTTCGAGTCCCACCCGAGAACAACTTGCGATTTCTTTTTCGCAGTTGTTTTCAAATGTACTGAGTATTCGGTACATTTCCACGTCAGGTAGGGCAAAATTACACCTATACATGTTTCTCCTGACGCAAATCCAGTTATTGTCTATTATTCCATCACGAATCAACACTGCAGTACCCGCTGCTTACTTGGACGTGAATTCAACCCTGGCCATCAGGTGCAATCTCGGTGGTCTAGAGGTATGATGCCAGGCTAGTGATCTGGAGATCGTGGGTTCGAGTCCCACCCGAGAACAACTTGCACCTATAAATATTGTTAATGCATCTTTATTGTTTCGTTGTGAAAGAATGACGCAAACTCTCAGTATTCTGATGTTTAACTGGATCTTTATTATCCAAACGCTGTTCAAAGATTATCGAAAAATAACAAAAATTATAAAAACATCATAATCATAAAAAAAACTATTAATAACTCTAAAACAAACTTCTGGCCATCTTAAACTCTCTTGGCTCATTATGCACTGATTGGGGGCGCTACAATTAATTAAAACTTTCATAAAATGAAACATATATACAGGTATTTAAACATGTGAGGCTAAATCCATTGACCATTTGCATAATATTTCCATTTCAACACCAAAACTTGACATGTATTTTTTTTTTGTTAACTATAAATGTAAAATATTCCCCTAGTGTTTAACAAGCAGAAGGCAGGTATACAACTAATACTGTACAATAAAAGGCGTTTCTGTTTAGCCGGTTAGTGTATTCTCTTGTTAAGTAGGTGAGGTTGGATAGTACCGTGGGTTTTCACATTTTCTTTACAGTTTCAGTAGTTGAAAGATGTTTCAATATATGTTGCTTGGATTCTGTGTTCAAAACGTAACATGTGTAGTAAAAAATAGGCCGACAGTGAATTTTGGTGAAATCATTACAAAATCTTAAAATGGCCACTTTAAAAACGAGTCTAAAAACCTATATACTAAAAGTCAAAGTAGTGCCTCTCTTTGAAATAAATTGATTGGGCTAGTTATTGTGCGCTTTTGAAGATCAAAAGTGGAGGTAAGTGAGGTGGGGTTGTAGTGGTGGTGGTTGAAGTAAATTAGGAACATATTTTGAGAGATTATTTCATAGAAAGAAAGGGTGGGCGGAGATGCTCTCTACTGAGGGCTCTTGTTTCATTTGTTATGCTTTAGTGATACTTTTTTGTCATTCTACTTTTCTAATGTTTTTAATTTGTTAGTATACGTGATTTTATACTGTCTTATGCGTCTCCCTCTGGGAGAACATAAACATTTACCTGAAGAGGCGATCCAGTATAAAGAACAAATAAATTTTAAAAAAAATGTAAAGCCCCACAGAGAGGTGGATATAACTGAGGTTAGTTCTGGTATTGTTTATTCATTTACAGTAGGCGTATTCAAATTTTTTTTTGTTATTATATTATTATTATTATTATTATTATTATTATTATTATTATTATTATTATTTTATTAAGAACTATTTTGCATCTACAGTACGGTAACTGCTATAATCACCATAGGAGTAACTTAGATATTAATTTGTATAATTTTCCCCTTATCGTATATAATTTCTGTGCAATGTGTATAAAAGCATCGTGCAATATAAGCTATTTAAAAGCATATTATCATTCATATTATATTTTTAAAGACTTTAATATGATGAAGACTTTATAAACAAGGCTAATATTAGAACAGTTTCTTTATTCATCCGTCATGCAGTTATGACAAGAATTTTTTTAGGTGGGGGTGGTGGTGATAATTGTATTTACCTATTTTTTGTATTTATTAATTTGCCTGCACCACTTTACGGCCGGAATCCGGTAATTTTTCGGAGCAGGAAGTTTAGAAATCATAAAATAACTGATGAGAGGATTTGCAAGCGGGCAGAGCTGATCTGGCTGTGGAGGGCGCTATTGTAAACGGTGTTTACGATTAACGAATAAGTTCCGGATCATAAGTGATTGCCGAAAAGGAGAAACACCCATCATGTCATATAAAAATGTCGGTTTTTTATGATATTGCATTGCTATTGACTAAATTTTGAAGTTGTGTTATTAATGTACTTCATTGTATTGAATTAGTAGGAACAGTTTGGGCTGTGCTCTCTTGACGACTGGTAAAATATCGTGTTGGAATCTTAGCCTAATTTTTTGAAGCCGGGTGGCAGCTTCTCTGGTGGTCAGCTTAGGCACGGTGGTACGGTAGATCATTTTCGACTGCACGCTTAGTCCACAAAAACCACAACAATCATCAGCTCTTGAGCCTCTGAGTCTTATCATTCTTTATATTAACTCAGTTGCTTCTCTAGTCTACATAGGTATTTGTGTGTTTGAACTGAATATATAAACCTGCATTGTGGAGTAAATTGAAAGGGATACGATGGCAACTGCTGCAAGTCAATCAGGTAAAGTAAAAATGTAATTCATCAAACTAGCATAGCCTCGTCATAGGCCTAGGCTATCCTAGGACTTGCCTAGGCTAGGCCCTGGCTAGTGCCTGCAGTTATGCCCTCGAGTAATGACCTATAAGCTAGGCTGGGCCTAGTAGTGGCAGGGAGGTACAAAAATATTTTGTTATGCCGCCTTGGTATTAGTGCTCTCTCTAGCATACATCATAGGTCTGAAGTCAACTCGGCTGTCAACTCCAAAATCGTATTTCAATCATAAACATAAACACTATTTCAGATAAGAAAGTATAATACATACTCCAAGTATTGAAATACACGCCATCGTGTTGGGATTCAATATTTCGACATTAATTATGTCATCATCAGGAATCACATTCCTGATGATGACATAATTAATGTCGAAATTCCTGATGATGACATAATTAATGTCGAAATATTGAATCCCAACACGATGGTGTGTAAACACTATTTGGTTACAGTATCAATGTAAACAGTCAAAAGAAGGTGCTACTGACACTGTATTGTTATTGTTCTTATTTTATTTGATCTGTTGTGTTACGTAGTACACAGTTGTTACTTTGTTTTCCTAGGCCTACTGTAAATGCACTGCTCAGTACAAGAAATAATAATTGGCGATCAATGAAAAAAATAAAAAGATGAGAAAAAACAAATTCACAATAAATTTATGTTGTATTTTTATCTCTCAACAAAACTGTATAATGTAATAGTGTGTGTATGAATATGATTGCGTTCCTTGCTGACTTTACAAACCAGTAGAATACGGCCAATGTTATAAGATTTTTCCCAAACACATGAGCCGGATACAGATACGGGTGCGTACCTTTGGTCCGAAGGGTCTTTGGTTCGATGGCCCATTGGTCCAAAGGCCTGTTAGTCAGAAGTGTCTTTGGTCCGAAGTTCCTAATTTTGGTTGTGTGAGTACCTTTGGTCCGAAGGCACGTTGGCCCAAATGTTCCTAATTTTAGTGACCTGGTTTTCCACGAAAATTGTTATGACTTAATGAAACCGTTTCTTATGTCAGCTGGGCTCTTTGGTCGCCTTTAATTTAGGGACGTTCTTGACCACAGAATGCGTTTCTGATCTGCTTTATTTTTATATTTATATATTATGTGATTTTTGTATTATGTGATCTATGCTTTTGTTGTTGGAATACTTATATTTGATTTATACCGTATCCAAAC